CACCGCAATGAGAAGCCCGCGCACCACAATGAAGAGTAGCCCCGGCTCACGGCAACTAGAGAAAGCCTGCGTGCAGCAATGAAGACCCAACACAGCCAAAAATAAATAAATAAGGTAATTAATTTTTTTAAAAAATGGCCAATCATCGGGCTCAGATGCTAGGGAAGCAGAGATAAAAGATGTGTCTAACATCTAGGGGCTCCCAGTACAGTTGAGGTGGTAAGACAAAAAGTTGCAGCAACACTGGTAGTGATGGTAATAATGGTGCTTGCCTTGAGACCAGGCACAGTTCTGAGCACTTCATATGTATACCATCTTTGTATCTACCCTTTTACAAGCATTTTCACCCCTGAACTAAATTTACCACCTTCTGTGTCACTTTTCTCAATGCCCAAAGAAGTTATCCTTCTTAGTGAAAAAAAAAAACATTTTTGTTGAAGATACCATTTTTCTAGTTTGTTCTTCCCTTCCAACTGCCAAGAAACAACCTTGGAGTTCTTTTTGGGTTTTATGTTTTGTTGTTGTTTGTTTTGGGGGGTTTTGTTTTGTTTTAACTTTCAATTCATTCTATGTGTAAGATCTTAAACCCTGAAATTTCCCCCTTTGATTTTTTTTTTTCCAATTTCTTTTGGCAGCAGAACTAACCCCCCACCTTTCATCTTTGTGAGTTTATTATTTAGTTTAATTCCGATTCCAAAGATTGGGGTGAGGTGCCCTCCTCTGTATTCACATGGGGCCTGTACATAGTTCTACCTCATCTGGAATGTAATTCTTTACTAGTAGTTAAAAGCTGAGACTGGAACAAGACTGGCTGACTTCAGATTCTAGTTTCACCTCTTAATACCTGGATGATCTCGGGCAAATTTTATAAACTTTCTGGACCTCATTTCTTCATCTTTAAAATAGATCTAATCATATAATCCACCTCCAGAGATAATCCAAATAATGAGCTTTTATATTTAATCTTCAAAGATCCTGAGTTTTAGACATGCAGTAAACTTTGACTTGATCCTGTTAGGATGTAGCTAATAGAAAGCTCTTCAAATATAAATAATTTGGGAGGGGATTACTTAATTTATTACCGTGTTGATACCAAGTAATTTTTAAAATTCTATTTTCTAGTGTAAGACAAGGTAGATTTGAAAGTTATTTGGAAAGCAGACTAAAAATAGCACATTTGATTTCTGTCCAGTAAATGTTATAAAAGCAGACATGATTTTCTTCAGTATGTGTTGGGGGGTGGAGAGAGAATTGAGAATCCTATTAAATGTCAAATGATTGATGTCTGTACTGTATTAAGAATACATTCTGCAGATAAATGGGCAAAAGGATAGAAATAGTTCACAAAGAAGGAGGAATATAGGGGAAGGGTATCCAGCTGTATTAAAAACATACAAATTGACATAATTTTGAAATACCATTTTACACCTAGCAAAGTAGCATAACAGACAGTGCTGATGAGGTTGAGGTAAAATTGTACTCATTCATTGCCAGGCATTGTAAACTGCTAAGACCTTTGTAGAAAGTCAAATGACAGTACAGAGCAAAAACCACGCAGACTTACATTTCTTGTGTCCTGATAATAGCACTTCCTAGAATTTGTCTATAGATAAATTCAACCAAAGTATAAAGGATATATTCAAGAAGACATTAAGTGTCAAAATACTAAATCAGTTGGCTTTCCTGATTGGCAAAAAATATTTAGGTGTTTGGCATCCCCCTACCTCTCAGCACCACTCATCACTTGCTCCCATATTTTCCATTCATAGAGTACGGAAATGATTTTTATTTTTTCACGAGAGCTGTTCACAGGTTAATTGCATGCTCTCACTCCCTACTCTATAACCAAGTCTGTTTGCTGAAACAAGGAAGTCAGAGAAGACTGTGTTCTGAATCTTAGGCTTCTGGTAGGAGAGCAAAAAAATGTTTCTGAGAAAAGGGAATTTTAGTGGAGCAAGAACAAAGCAAGACCACACTTGGCAGTGACACGTTTTTGCTTAGAAATGTCAATTCCAGAACCCACCATTCTACTCATTCAGTTTTTTCTCCTCTCTCACACCCTCCCTCCCTCTTCCCCTTTCCACCCCACCCCCCAAATTGGAGGAGTCTACTCTGATACTTAAGCCTTTCTCTTAATGCTTACAAGGAGAAGAAAGGGATTTGGAAAGGGAAGAGTATCAAAGAAAAACCTACTGACAGCTCAGTAGACCCACAGTGGTGATGCTGCCATTTGATTAGGAAGCCCATGGTTATTTCAGAAAGAAAATCACCCGTCACCCATTTTATGAGATGCTGAAGCTACATTACTTTACACATCATTTATACTCAAGGTTCAGGTATAGGGTGCTATGGCACTTAAAAGTACCCACGGAAAACCAGGCTCTAAGGGTTCATCATTGTCTAGGCCTACAGCTTAACCAGTATGCAGTGTGTATTTCTGGGTGTGTTTAAGTGGCTGCTTTATAACTTATAAGCTTTGAAGGGTTTGTCACTAATTTCCCCCTGAACTGTTGAGAAATTATTTCATAGCAATAATTATTAAAAAGGTACCCATTTGTTTTCGGTATGGATGGCAGTGTAGAGGATGAGCTTCCTAATTAATTAACAATTGCACTTTCATGATTTTGGCTTATTGGAACAAATAGAATTTCAGGCTTTAAGGGAAATGCTTTAGCTCTATATGGCGTTTGGGGAAAATGTGAATCTGGACTTGTGGACGTGAATCATTATTGAGTTCTGTGTTGGAAATATGGCTTACATCACCATTTAAAGACTGCATATTATTTACTTCTTGTGGTGTGGTTTTATAACTTGTGTATGCAGTGAGAGAAGTGGTGAGCTCAGTTTTACGTCAGGGCTGGAAATAAGAGTTGTACTTGAAGTCCTACGGTGAGATCTTTGTGTGGTTGGATTCTGTATGTGAATCTTCGTACTTGCATGTTATGCAGATGCCTGAGCTTTTCTTCTTCTTCTTCATTGACCTTTTGGGAACTGTTCTGAGTTTTTTCGATGTATCTTTTTTATTAAGTTATTTTGAACACATAATAACTTGGAACACTCAGGGATTGTTTTACATTCATTTATTAAATTAAATGATAGTAAGTGTGGATGATTCTTGGCCATAGCTATTCCATAGTTTGCAGAACTTGATAATGAGCAGTAATTTGTCCTATATATATAGTTTTTAATCACAATACAGATGCAGGTGTTTTCCTTCTGTGAGCAGTTGAGTCTGTAAGTCACCTTCTGTGGATGTGGGTGTCCCAATGACTGAGAGCCAGCTGTTGGGTGTTTTAACTAAACAGCTCGCTCCTAGTTGGCTGCTCAGATCCCATTGAGAGAGGTATTGGCTGCTCCAGAGAATAGAACAGGAATAGAGCACACAGGGTGAAGATTTTTGCAAGGCCTTTAGTGACCCAGTTTAAATTTGGTGAAATTTTCTACTTTGGCTTTTTCCTATAGGTGCCAGAGTTCATCTGCTTCAGATTTTCACCAATGACTCATCTTCCTGTCATATTTTCTTAGACTACAGTGACGTAAGACTCTTCGAGTCACTGTTAGGTAGTTTCTCCTACCACGTATAGGAAGAGAGAACAGTGATATTCAAACTCAAGTCTGTTTCCATCTCATGCTGATTGATTCCTATGGTACATAGAAAACTGTTTCTCCCTGAAAATGGCACCCTAGTGATTTATTGTTTTCTGTGGGAGGAAACTTATGACCTTCTCTTTTCTTTTTCCCTTCCAGAGGGAATCTGGAAAACTTGTAAGCAAAACATCATTTCTCTTAGAAAATTTTGGATAACAGAAATTCTGGATAACAGGTAAAAAGTATATTTAAATTTCTTTGGAGATGCTGATAATCACCTATTATCTGCAGAAGTAAACCAAGAGAGGGAAGATAGGAGAGGAACGCTAGGTGTGCTGTGTGGCAGGCGCTGTATTAGGGATTTTACACACATTATCTCATTTGATGGTTTTTACCTGGATTCTGGACATAGATCTAAGAATCTCAGAATAAAACTATCCTTCAAAATGCTGTTTTAAGTGGATTTGTCTATTGATTGGATTTTTAATGTCCTCACAATTCAATCTACAGGCATTTTTTAACTTCTACCATAAACAAAATACAGAAATATAATACAGAATGCTAGAATCTCTGTGATGCAGCCTAGCTCAGGAGTGTCTTCCTTGTTTATTTCTGTCTTTTATTTTAGTTCTTGATCTTTGCCAGTTACTTGCAGCTGTACTATCTCCTTAATTCTTTTTTAATACTTTGTCACCAGGTCCAAAATTTAACTTTCCTGATAAGGTACCTCTTCACAATGGAGTCCATCCAGCCCAGGTGTCCCCATTATGTTCTCAGTGGCAGTCTTACTGTGACCAAATAGCCATACTTCTGTGCTATTTTCTTATCTATATTCCACAAAGTTCGAAGGTCTTATGAAATAATACTGTATGTAAAAAATCCAGTATAGGGCTTCCCTGGTGGCGCAGTGGTTGAGAGTCCGCCTGCCAATGCAGGGAACACGGGTTCGTGCCCCGGTCCGGGAGGATCCCACATGCCGCGGAGCGGCTGGGCCCGTGAGCCATGGCCGCTGAGCCTGCGCGTCCGGAGCCTGTGCTCCGCCACGGGAGAGGCCACAGCAGTGAGAGGTCCGCGTACCGCAAAAAAAAAAAAAAAAAAATCCAGTATACTTTGAGATATATATCTCAAATGATAGATATAATTTTACCTTTTAAGCTAAGGAAGACACGAAAACTAATCAGACTTCCTAGGACCCTGTAGGCCCAAACCAGTGCTCTTAGACTGAGGTGAATGGTCCTACCTGATGGTAGTATAGAGAGTGAGGTGCTATTTATTCTAACAGCCATTCTAGTATGAGCCTTGAAGATAAATTTCAAGTATGTAGAGAAGTAGTTCCTAGAGATATCATCAATGAAAAAATTAAGATTTTAATATTTGCTGATTTTCCTTTGGTATTTTTTCATTTTTATCAGGGTGAACCAGTTCAGTCACCATGAGTTGGAGCTTCCTCACTCGCCTGCTAGAGGAGATCCACAACCACTCCACGTTCGTGGGGAAGATCTGGCTCACTGTATTGATCGTCTTCCGGATTGTCCTTACAGCTGTAGGAGGAGAGTCCATCTATTACGACGAGCAAAGCAAATTTGTGTGCAACACAGAGCAGCCAGGCTGCGAGAACGTCTGCTATGATGCCTTTGCACCCCTCTCCCACGTGCGCTTCTGGGTGTTCCAGATCATCCTGGTGGCCACCCCCTCAGTGATGTACCTGGGCTACGCCATTCATAAGATTGCCAAAATGGAGCACGGTGAAGCAGACAAGAAGGCTGCTCGGAGCAAACCCTATGCAATGCGTTGGAAACAGCACCGGGCTCTGGAAGAAACAGAAGAGGACCATGAAGAGGATCCCATGATGTATCCAGAAATGGAATTAGAAAGTGAAAAAGAAAATAAAGATCAGAACCAATCTAAACCTAAGCATGATGGCCGACACCGGATTCAGGAGGACGGGCTCATGAAAATCTATGTGCTGCAGCTGCTGGCAAGGACCGCGTTTGAGGTGGGCTTTCTGATAGGGCAGTACTTCCTGTATGGCTTCCAAGTCCACCCATTTTATGTGTGCAGCAGACTTCCTTGCCCTCATAAGATAGACTGCTTTATTTCCAGACCCACTGAGAAGACCATCTTCCTCCTGATAATGTATGGTGTCACAGGCCTTTGCCTGTTGCTTAACATTTGGGAGATGCTTCATTTAGGGTTTGGGACAATTCGAGACTCACTAAACAGTAAAAGGAGGGAAATGGAAGATCCGGGTGCTTATAATTATCCTTTCACTTGGAACACACCATCTGCTCCCCCTGGCTATAACATTGCCGTCAAACCAGATCAAATCCAGTACACCGAACTGTCCAACGCTAAGATTGCCTACAAGCAAAACAAGGCCAACATCGCCCAGGAACAACAGTACGGCAGCCATGAGGACAACCTCCCAGCTGACCTGGAGACCCTGCAGAGGGAAATCAAAATGGCTCAGGAACGCCTGGATCTGGCAATCCAGGCCTACAGTCACCAAAACAACCCCCATGGCCCCCGGGACAAAAAAGCCAAAGTGGGGTCCAAGGCTGGGTCCAACAAAAGCAGTGCTAGTAGCAAATCGGGGGATGGGAAGACCTCCGTCTGGATTTAACCTTGGCTGGGCTTAAAACTTGTGCTTTTCGTAGTTCACAGTAAGCAGCGGCTCACAGAATAACGACTTCCACTGAGTAAACATTCGGCTCTGGTTATTTTCAGGGATGCTGTTGGCTCATGATCCAAGCTCAGGGGACTCTGAAGTGGGGGCTGGGACAGGGGGAAAGAACGGGAAACACAGTGTTCCTGGACACATGTTCCAGCAATAATACAGTTGCAGAACTTTACATTTGTGTCTTCCAGATCTGGAAAAGAACAGATATATTTAAATCATTCTTGTTGAACAGTTTTTGTATGTACAGTATTATGGTACATTTTTTTTTTTTTAGTATGAAAACTTTTCTTTGTATTTGTATATTGGACCACTGTAGTTATACTTTTATATTAAAGGGGAAATAATCCTTAAGGTAATGCCTATTAGGCTAGTGTTATTACTTTGTTCAGCAAATTCTACCCTGGATTTAAAGTTTTAATAGATGCTACATACCTAATAAAAGTGCCTCTCGTGTTGCAGGGAAGATTTCAGATATGTAAGGAGCCGGAGGAGGATGAATCAGTTCTCAGTCTTGGAAAGAAAGTCCATAGTAGAGGGAGGTTGAGATCTCTCTTTGACTTGAGAAATCTTTGAATCTCGTTCATGTGTCCAGATTTGTATCTAGTCTTTGAAAACCTATTTGTGTTTTCAAAGAAGATAAAGTGATTCACTGCAGAAGTCCTTTAAATATCAAGCCTTGCCAGTATATGCTTTGATGGTGTGTATATAATGTCAGTTCTTTCAAAAGGCTGTTGCACAAAGCTGTCCTCATCCAGTAGCAGTGTGGAGACCCTGGCTAGAACTGTTCTAAGATTCCTCTGTCACAAAACAAAGGCACTCCTGGGAAATAAGCCCTGATAAGATGTTTAGTTGTGGACCTGTTTGATTTGCCTTAAATCTGTATCCAAAAACCTGCCTCTCTGTTTTCTTAAGAAGCCAGTGATGGATACTTTTTTTATATGGTAACAGTAAAAATACGAAAATTCCCTTCTAGGCTAAAAATTAATCAAAGCTACCTTAAACTGCATATGGCAGAAGGCCTAAATTCAAATTCCTTATTTTTTATAATTCACCATGGGACTTTTATAATTTACATATTTCTGCCAGTGTAGGTTTCTGCCTGGAAGACCAGTCAGACCTGGGATTCTATCTGTAAATAGACCGAAAGAGAATTTCAGTATTTATTTGCTGTAGGCATATCTATTTGTTAATGACAAGCATTAATGTTCACATAACACTCGTAATTTGCAGTAATATTTTATTGCCATTTTCGCCCTTCTCTTATGTTGGAGAACTTTGCTCTCCTGTCATGTTCACATCATTTGTCTTACAGTTTATGAGCTTCTGAGTAAGAGCTTGGTAAAGATTTAAAGGAAGCGGTGTTTGCTTCACCAGGGAGCTTTCATTCTGGGTATCTCACTCTCTTCTAACAGAAAGTTATTGCAAGCCACCTCCAACATTGAAATTCCAAGAGTGCTATTTTTTTGACTTAATTTTTAAATGTCAGTTCTCTATTCTTAGAACAGCGTCCTGTATGCAGTTCTTTTTTTCTTTGTTGTTCTCCATTGCATTTCTCCCCCACCTCCACCCCCCACAAAAGACACTCAGTTGAAAATTTAAGCTTATCTTCTAACCATGCATTTACCTTTATTTTGCTTTTTTTAGTCTGTAAATTTTAGCCTAGAGAAGTTCTTCAGGATCTCTAAACACTTAAGCAAAAGGTAAACTCCCTTGAGACTGAAGGGGAAATTTCAGAAAATGATTTATACATGTATGGATCCTTGATAATTAATAGACCTGCACAGTTTCCTTGAAACCAAGTGTTTAATAAGGAATTTCAAATAATTATTCTAAAACAGGGAAGATTTTAAATACTTCATACTTCAGGCCAGCTAAGATAAAGAGCTACCAATAATTCTTATGTCAGTAGAACTTCATGTATATTTCTTAATTGAAGGACAGAAAAAATACACATACATTCACATCCATCTATTCAGAGTCTGAAGGAGAACAGAGTGGCTTTGCCAGTGGAAGGGTTGGGGATCTGAGTGAGAGAGAGGGAAGGAGTCAAGCAGAAATGCCAGGCAGACATTCGGCGCCAGAAGCATCCACTTAGTTTCTACAAATAGGGCCCCTGGTGTTTCATCTGGGCTTGTTCTGATGAGAATGTTATCTTTTGTGTCTGGATAATTCTTCAACTTCCTCAAGTACATAGAAAGATATTCTGGGTCACTTCACATGTGTTAAAGTCTATTTTTATTCTCTCACTAAAGTTCTAATTATGACATAGATTTCCCAACTCTCACTACTTTCTTAGTCCATTTCTTTCAGCCTTTGAACATATGAGTTTGCCAAGGCCATTCTCCCCTAACAACATGTCATGGACTTACATTAAGAAAACGGCCCTATCAGTGTCTAGCTTGTTAACCCATTAATTGGGTCTACATTGAGTCTATAAAATACTGTTCCAGTTACTGTTCTGGAACTTGCAGGTATTTGTATAAAACACCTGTCAGCAGGGTTTTTTTTTCCCTATCAAAATCATTCCTTTGAATTGCTGTATAAGACATGCTCTGTAGGGCTTCCCTGGTGGCGCAGTGGTTGAGAGTCCGCCTGCCGATGCAGGGGACGCGGGTTCGTGCCCCGGTCCGGGAAGATCCCACATGCCACAGAGCGGCTGGGCCCATGAGCCATGGCCGCTGAGCCTGCGCGTCCGGAGCCTGTGCTCCGCAATGGGAGAGGCCACAACAGTGAGAGGCCCGCGTACCGCAAAAAATGACATGCTCTGTCGTATGACATTTGCTTCTCTAAATAGAAGTTGAGTGCTTAGTCCTTCACAGACTACAATCAGGATATGGTCAACATGTTATATTCCTTAAAATACAGTTGGATTTATTCAGATGTGGTGTGTCCTTTGTTCATCTTTGTTACAATTATTCAGAAGAGATCTGTAAAACAAATAGGCTTTTTTTCTTAGTTCAAATTTGAGGGAAGAATTATATAACATTTTCCCCTAAAGAAATGTTACTGTTCATTTTGTGGCTTCCTCTTTGCTTTATGCCTTAGTGTCGCCTGTTTCTATATTTGTTCATTTAAAACCACAAGCGTGTTACTTCATTGAAGTCAGTTTGTCTGGGGATTTTCCTTGACTGACGTCTATAGACTTTCGATAAAAAGGAACTTTGCCAACTAAAATGGTTCTCACAGGTTAGGACTCCCACATATCTGTCTTTTAGAAGGACACCTGTATCTTTAAAAAGAAAAACGTCATCATTAGGTACCTTAACTGTCATTTCTTCATGGTATGAGACTAGGCAGTTCACTTTACTTTTCCAAGTTCCAGGAGCCACTTACCTCTCAGAAGTGTTATGAAGTAGTTAGAAAAAGCGTCTGGTAAAAAGTATTAAAAAACCAACTATTATTATTGGTCATTTGTCTGACCTTGGAGCTTCAAAAAAAAAAATAGGTGAAAGAACTATGTGATGTAGTAAGAAGTCCTTCAGTGCTCTTTATCACAGGAATCAGTGATTGTTTAAAACACTTAACTTGCTCTAAGCAGTTTATACCAAGAATGGACTTAAATGTTATTCCTATTAGTCATACCTATGCTTTGCCCGTTACGCTTATAAACGTCTAGGCTTCACGTTTTCTGTCTCATTTAAGAGACAGTACACTGCTAAAAATAATACCTATAGTTTAGGATAAATTTTTGGCCAGCCAGTTTTTTATAAAAGGCAAGTATGTTATGCTTGAACCTACTTCACAAATGCCTTTTTATACAGGAAGGGTCTTTCCCAACTGTGAAGAAAAGTACCTGAAGTCAGAGATACGCAGCTGCTGGTCATTTTGATTGGAAGGTTCCAGTTGTCAGATTAATTTTATCTTTATAAAATCATGTAATTTCACGAAGAGTCTTACCACCTGAAAATAAAGCCCCTGCACCTATACAGTGCAGAGTTTGGAAATAAAATTTCAACTCACCTATATATCGTAAATCTGTAGTAATCCACAGTTACCATCAAAGGTTAGAGTCATTAGGTTGACTTGCATACTTGTCACTCATTCTGGCCACATATCCTGGAGAGTTTAAAAGATTTTATTTGTTGTCCCTAATGTGCAGTTGTGTTGTTTTTGTTGTTTTTAATAATGATGTTAAGTGAGTTTGGTTCATGCACATTCCATGTTAATAATCATACTTTTGAAAGAAGCAATCCATGTATTCCAAAATTCAAGATTCCAAACAAAAGAAAGCCCTACTCCCGTGCAAAATCTCTACAGAAATAAAAGAAGTAAGAGTTCTGCATTTCAGGGTTGGCTTGCTGAACCAGCAAAGACATTTGGCTGTATGATTCCAAGATTGGAAGTGGTTTTCTTTTCTGTACTCTCTATTGTGTTCTCTTCGATAAATCTCTTACAGAAGTCTCTACCTCAGGCACTAAGTGTTAGATATGATTAGCATATTGATACCAAAAATCTTAGCTAGGACTTCCAACTTTTCAAGATAATTTAAATGTAAAATTCAACTGTTAACCAGCAATTTAATGTCATGTGATGTGCAGTTTGGATATTGTATGAACAGCTAAGGAGTTACCCATTCTAGTGCCAAAGATCACTCGTTGCTAATTTTGTTCTGTACAGTTGATGTAAAATTTTATGGTGGGGACAGACTCTGCTGAGGGCCTTGTCTCTAGGAAGATTTTTTGTCAGTTCCAGATGTTTTTGTCAGTTCCAAATACAGTTTAGAAGATTCATTCGTGGTCTGTGCATCTTTTTCCAAACCTGAAAACTCAACTGCCAGGTGTCATATTCAGGATTTTTACCCCGTTCTTTGTGTCAAATAGTGCCCGAGAGCTTAATGGTTTACACAGAAAACCTGATATGAAAATCTCTTCGCATACCTTCACCTGTAAGTTGATCTCAGTGGAAATACGTGAGCAGGAAATTTTCCAAGTAGAGGTTTGGGCTCAAAAGATGCCCTTTTTTCATAGCTGGGTTAGAACTCCTCTGGGATGGCTGTGGCTAAAAGGATTTGGCGTGTTTGTGGCATCACAATCTGGGAGGGGCAGGTGGCCTTAAGGGTGGAGGCTAAGGTCTAAGCACAGAAACCGGCAACATACCCGCTCTCTGGCTCCCTTTGGTTCTCGAGGCCTGGAGAAGAGGAGTGCCTTCTGAGAAAGATGCTCCTCACAGATGTAGACCAGTCTTGGTGTGACTAATCCACTTTGTGAGAATAGAGGATGTGGGAGAGGGCTAAGGAGAGGGTAGCATTTATTCCAACAATGCCCTCTGTTACCCCAGACACAGAATAGCTGACTGAGTGACAGAATAGGTCATGCGTCAAGCCCACCCTCAGCGGCACAGATTGTAAACTG